GTGGTTACCAACAATGATCTTTTTCTCCGGCTGCTCCAACCCAATAATCCTTCCAACCACGTTGTAAATGGGCTGTCTTTCTACCTCATCTTGGATGTTCATAAGATTGACGGTGGGCGACGATGCGTCCCCAGTCCACCACTGATTCACGTCCGGGACACCGCCAACCCACTTGGCCGGCACCTCCGAACCGTGGCCCTTGAGCACCTGCAAGAGCCTTTGGGCATCGCGCCAGGCGAGAGGGATGCTAGGAATAGCCGTCAACCCCTTGCTATCCTCCGGCTTGAGTCTCACTTTCTCATCCGGTGTGGACGCGAAACCTGGCGAGAGTACATCACCGACCACCCATGACATCAAACTAACAGCACCTCTTTGTGTCCCGTCTGCTGGCATATAGCGTCCATCTGGAAAGGCCGGACCCCGGACAAAGCCATCCTCCGCGGGATCGGAATATATTATACAACCAGCTGCACCAGCCAATTCTGCAGCTTTGACCTTCAGGGCCCGATCGCTCTCTGACCCACCATAACGGACCAGCGCTATGGAGCCGTCCAAGGCAACTCCTTGATCTTTGAGGTATTGGAAATCTTCTCGGGAACCGTAGTTTGCGTAGACAAGGTGACCAGTGACGTTCCCCGACTTCGAGTGGCCATGGAATACCAAGGTCTGTTCGTTATCCTCTTCCAGTGTAGCCTCCCAGGCAAGGTCGGGAGGATCGATGATCGCCACCCTCCGACCGTCTTGCTGGGGATAATTCAAATATACCTGGAATTCTTCCATCTCGACCTCGTCGAAGTTGGCCTTGTTGAACTCCGATGCCACCCATTCCGCCAGAACGAAACTGCCTTCCGTACCGGCAATATGAGGGTATGCGGTCAGCTTCTTCAGGTTTTCTGCAATGCTCGTCTCATTGATATGACCCTGAACGAAGTTCTCCACGGACGCGGCGCTGTAGGATTGACCCATGATAAAACGGTTGTTCATGCTGAATAGGTCCGAAATGAAGAAGATGTACACGATGGTGACAACTAGAAGCAATCCAAAGACACGCAACAAGATCATGCATCCATTGTGTTTGAAGCCCGACCGAGCATCGTCTAGGTAGACGGTAAACCTGAGATTTGGCAAGCTTGGCAAATAACGGCGAAACGGCAGATTGAACGAGGATAATGTACGAGTCAAGTCGTTGAATCGCTTCGAGAACCGCGACCGTAGGCGAGATCGTTGAGATGATATTTGCTGACCAGCGTCCTCCACGTCCATCTGGGCCAGCTCCCGCTGTAACTCTTCCAACGAGCCCCTATCCGATCCAGATCCGGACTCAAGGTCATCGAGGCTATTCCGAGCGGACTCAACGGTGGGAGGGTGATATCCATGAGGTCTAGTCTCTCCGCGGGCACCCGTTTGGGGACCGCGCTGGAGCAAGCCTTGTCTTTCGGTATTGTCGCTCACTTCTTCGGAAGAATCGAGGTGCGAACGGGAAGAGCCCGGGCGAGCGCCGATGGCCTCTTCGTAGGATGGGATTGGAAGGGCTTCATATTCGAATTTATTGTCGTTGCCCATGGCGGGTGATATGGGGCTCCCGAGAGCCGTGCGAGTTGGGTAGTCTCACAGATACCGGGCTAAGCGGGATCATGATCTGGATGAGAAAGGAGTGACAGCCAATGCAGCCATGCTCCCGATCGGAGGGGCGGGAACGAAAGACAAAGGAGGTTGAATGTGTAAATAAAGAGTGTGTACTTTATGAAATATATTAGGAGGGGGGTTAAAGAAGAAAAGGGGAGGGGGTGGTGGTGTTCCTGATGATGGAGGTAGGAGGAGGATGGGTCAGTAGCAGTCGATCGCAGTGTCAGATCTCGAGTAGGTAGCAGTAGTAGTGAGAACTCACTTCAAGTTCCCCGGACCGCCCGTCACTTTGGGGGGGAACATTGAGGCTACGCGTGGCGCAGTCGAGGGGGGGGGAGTTTGCTGGTCGGGGCCACGGCTCGGCATCCGTAGGCAGAAGGGTTCTGGAACAGATTTCTCCCGACCGATCGATATGTAATCAATCAATCATCCTCAAGGGCTCTCTGTATCCGCCATTTAGTAGTCAATTTGAATTGTTTGCAACTGGTCATGATGAGGACGAGGCAGAGTGGTATTGTTTGAATAGAGTAGAAGGAGAGAAGAACAGTTTACAAGTACCAGTAATAGCAGTAGAAACTGGAGACAAACAGTAACGCTGGCCATGCATCCCGTTAGTACCGAGATACTCTTCCAATCTCATTGATAGTACTATACTAGAGAGTAGAAGTAGTAACTTGTAGTATAGTATGTCATATATTCTTGTCATAGTAGTGCTCCGTAGTACTACTGGTATGGTACTAATACCAGTACTACTTGGTTAGTAGTAAGTGTGAAGACGAAGAAAAAGATAAAGGAGTACTGTCAAAGTAGCCGAGCAAGCGGACAATGGCTTATCATATATATTTTTTCTGTCTTCTACTCCGTACTAGTAGTAGTACCATCATCATGCTGGTTTGACCTGCCAATACTACTACTAATAATAATGCCCGAGTGCTACTATGTACACTCAAAGTACATTGATACTAGTGTGCTCACGTAGTGGTCCATGAGGGACCAACTCGAACATGCATCACATATCCATTATTATTATCATTGTATGGTTGGGCAATTCATGTCCTTAAATTAATGCTGCAAGGCTTTTAGATCATACAGATGCCTACTTATTACTCCTCTACTTAATCGAACAGCCGACAGCATTGCTTGACCTGATCCCTTGCTTTCCACTCCGGTTCACAGCATCTGCAGCACACGCAATTCAGACGTTCGTAATGCTTCAAACCGATACAAAAATTTTTTTTTCTCTCGCACATCCCACTTCGACGATGGAGATCCGACAAATGACCACACAAATGCAGCCCCAAGAATGTCAATCGGCGCTACTTTTGAGTCCGAAAGAAAAAGAAGGACCCGATCCAATTGAATGATGGTGGATCTTCCCTGCCATTGGCACCTACCAAGTAGCCCACTTTGTAGTACTTATCTACTTTTAGTGAAATCTGCATGACAATGTGGGATTTTCGTCAACGACTAATGAGCGTTCCTCTCGGCCCATTTCGCGCCAGAGGGGCACGGCCAAAGATCGGGTATACTCTTCTTCAATGGCGGGCTTGTTCTCGACTCTCTCCGACATCTGAACCCACTGGGACCCTACTTGTGCCTGTAAGTCTCGGTAAGATGGAAGCTCGTTTACAGAAAGGGCACCGAAAGCTCCACAAGATAAGATTGATTAATCCCTCAACCTGTTTCACTGTTCCACTCCACGGTCAGGCTATACCGGGTGGATGTTGTCGGAACTGGATTTGGTTGGGATGGGATCGATTCCAGAGAGGTTCCTTTTTGATTGCTTGCTTGCGTTATCCCACTTGTTTGGTATCTGGCGTATGCAGGTGTCGAAGAACGGGACTTTTGGTTGACATACTTACGCTTTAGAACGTAGACGTCACTGCAAGCATACCATAGGCCTCAGCTGACAACTGTTGTCTGGCCATTACTATCTTCTCGGTCCATCTGAGTAAGTAACGGGGCTATGTTAGGAGGGAAAAGCGTGATAAGAGGGAGAAGATGAGGGGCATGCGACAATTAATGGCTACGGGTTGGGCAAGACCTATCCTGTGTGGTCCATTAGATATGCCGTCTGATCAGAAACAATCCGCATAAAGATACTCCGCGTCTAGACGGAGTTTTCCTCGTAAGCAGGTTTGTCGTCATGGGCAATCAATGGCCGGGACGCAGGGGAGAGACAAAGGATACCAGGGAACGCATCCCATTGCCGTGTTAAAGTGCTTGGCATCCCGGGGACAGAAGTGCAACATTGCGGGTTTACATCATGTGTCTGCAGTTAAGCTGCATGGTTGTAAGTAGGGTAATAATATTGCAGCAGCAAGCTCCTAAAGTACGGTGGCGTGGATATTAAATCCTCCCGTTCATATCGGCCAGTGTGGGAGAAACATGGGCCGATGTTGATTGAGGGCGGATGTATAGTTTAGGGTGAAGGCCATATCACAAAACATGGCGGCAAGAGTCGGTGAAAAGGAAAACGCAAAATAGAATCATCCACCCGGAGCAAGATGAGCTGTCGGTAAGACCACTTGGAGCTAGGTTGTGCAATGATGCGTTGGATGCGAGAGCTGTGGTTGGAGGCAGCCGTATCCTGTTCCCCCGTTTTCGGGACATAGGATGAAGAGTACGGCGTATACCAGATCCTGGACACCATCAGATTTTCTCCCTCTCAACAATTGTGGAAATTAGGAGGTGGATCGTTTTGAGTTGGAGTCCTCTCCGGTGAAACTCCCCATCCACAATTTCGACCCCTTTTCCTGTCCCGGTCATGGGGGGAAATGGTGTATATCGTGGGAAAAGTTGTTGATATGATGCGCCGTGACTTGGATAACCCCAAGACCATCTATACTATAGATCTGAGGCGGCGTGACTGCCAGAACACCGCCGGGACAACCTCAGGCACCCCAGGGCAGGCCAGGGCGCCGACCAACCACAGCCCGCAGACCAAGCCAGATGGACCCACTAGGCCACGCACTAGAAGCACACTAGCTGATCCGTAAGTATTGTCTGGCTGCATAGGAACGGGGGTCGACCCAGTTCGTTGCTTTTTTTTTTTCTTTTGCCCCCGGCCGATGGCCAGTGACCACCTGGGAAACCGTTCGCCCGCTGGCCTCGGGGGGCCCCTCTAGTATATCGTGAGCTTCACTACTTATACTCTCCTCTTTCACCTTCTCTCAGCTCCTTTTCTCTCTCTCTCTCTCTCTCTTCCAACAAACTTTCTTCCTCTTACCTTTAATTATCTTTTCTTCACCTCCCTTCTTCCCCCCATACATCATACTCTCCGCAATAGCTCTCTTTCTTGAGTGTTTTGTGTCTTAAACTCTACTGTCCCACTTTCCGCTTAATACTTACCCCTCCTCCTTTACACATTCACCATGGCTGCCCGTCCTCAGAACATTGGTATCAAGGCCATTGAGGTCTACTTCCCTCGTCAGGTTCGTGTGTCTTGCCACGTCATTCGATTCTGTTCCTGTCTGTTCTGAGCAGTGTTCTAATATGTCCCTGTGTTTTCTAGTGTGTCGACCAGAGCGAGCTCGAGAAGTTCGATGGCGTGAGCGAAGGCAAATACACCATTGGCCTTGGTCAGACCAAGATGAGCTTCTGTGATGACCGTGAAGGTATGCATTAGACAATGACAGACATCGTCCGCATGTCATGATCGCGTGGCAATGCTAACGTGCACTTCCCGGCAGACATCTACTCCATTTCCCTGACCACCTTCTCCTCCCTTCTTCGCAAGTACAACATCGACCCCAACTCCATTGGCCGTCTGGAGGTCGGTACCGAGACCTTGCTGGACAAGTCCAAGTCCGTCAAGTCCGTCCTGATGCAGCTTTTGGCTCCTCACGGAAACACCAACGTTGAGGGTGTTGACAACGTCAATGCTTGCTACGGTGGCACCAACGCTGTTTTCAACAGCATCAACTGGCTCGAGTCCTCTGCTTGGGATGGCAGAGATGCCGTCGTCGTCTGCGGTGACATTGCCCTGTACGCCGAGGGTGCTGCTCGCCCTACCGGTGGTGCTGGCTGTGTCGCCATGCTGATCGGTCCCGACGCCCCTATTGTGTTCGAGCCTGGTCTCCGTGCCTCCTACGTCACCCACGCCTACGACTTCTTCAAGCCCGACCTGACCAGCGAGTACCCCGTCGTGGACGGCCACTTCTCCCTCAGATGCTACACCGAGGCTGTCGACGCCTGCTACAAGGCCTACAATGCTCGTGAGAAGACCCTGAAGGAGAAGGTCCAGAACGGCACCAACGGCACCGCCCAGGACGATTCCAAGACTGCCTTGGACCGTTTTGACTACCTCTGCTACCACGCCCCCACCTGCAAGCTGGTGCAGAAGTCCTTCGCTCGTATGCTGTACAACGACTACCTCACCAACCCCACTCACCCTGCTTTCGCCGAAGTGGCTCCTGAGCTCCGTGATCTGGACTACGCCACTTCTCTCACTGACAAGAACGTGGAGAAGACCTTCATGGGTCTGACCAAGAAGCGCTTCGCTGAGCGCGTCAAGCCCGCTCTTGAGGTTGCCACTCTCTGCGGTAACATGTACACGGCCACTGTTTGGGCTGGTCTGGCTAGCTTGATCTCCCACGTTCCCTTCGATGCTAGCGAGTCCAAGCGCATCGGTCTCTTCTCCTACGGCAGTGGTCTTGCCAGCTCCCTGCTTAGCGTGAAGATTGTCGGCGACGTGTCCAACCTGGTGGAGAAGCTTGATCTCAAGAACCGCCTTAGCAACCGCAACGTTCTTCCTCCCCAGTCCTACGTTGATGTAAGTATTCCAACGACCTAATCTTGACCTGCACCTCGAAGTTCAGTTGCTAACGTCTGGTAACAGATGTGTGCCCTCCGTGAGCACGCTCACCTCAAGAAGAACTTCAAGCCTTCTGGCAGCACCGAGACTCTCTACCCTGGTACCTACTACTTGACTGAGGTGGACGACATGTTCCGCCGCAAGTACGACGTTAAGGCATGAATTATGACGAGCATATGATGGACTTGCTTTCGACCTTGCTTCTTTGGACATGACCGGTTGCTTAGACGGTTTTACTAGATTCCCTTCAGCATGCGCATTGTTTATTTGTGGTTCGCCTTAATAGAGCTCGGGGGCAGCGAAATGCTCCTACCAATTTCCGGGTCTGCTTTTTACCTTTATATTGGTTCTTAATGTTTCATACGTTGTTCATGTATCCTCCCAGTGAGGAGACCTTCTCTTGTCCAGACAGGAGCTGGAATGCAATTATATACGACGATGACCAATAATTCTAGACTCATCAGGAGTCATTTCGAGGACAACGATTATAATGTGGCTGACTAAGATGTATAATGGCCTGTAGTCTTTTATCTTTCTTAATCCGCTTGTTGGGTGCTTACTGTAGCATACCTTGTCATGTGACATGGGTGCAGAGAGTGGCGCGTTCTTCCAGCACCTTCACCCTGTTGCAAGTTGCACTGATTAACCCAAGCGCCCAGGAGACATAAAGACAAATAGGCATCTTGCTAGATCCACGAACTTCATGATGGGCGTGAAACCAGGCGTGACCAAGAATAGCAGCAGTTCAAGCTACAAGGTCGCTCTATTGTTTTAATTCCCGCCGACTCTCCTTTTACAGTGTCTGTCAGTCTCCGTCTGACCCATCTACAATTAAACCTCGTCACACAATAAGCACTCAAGTTCATCAAAAGTGACTGTGATTGGTCCAGTTGGAGAAAGCTCAAGCACACTGCAGGCTGTCGACAGGGAAGAGCCACTGAGGCATCCTGACGCCGTCCGGGGTCTTAGCCGGCGCCTACTGTGACGACCTGCAAGACCTCTGATTTATCGACACATCCAGGCGGGGATATTCTTAGAACCTCTTGGGCTTGAGAGTATCGTATCAGTTGATTAGTATTCGACTTCATTCTGCAAGCTTCGACTGCAATAGCCAATGCCCGTTGAGTGGGCTGCGGCTCCCCCAGGCCCTGGTATCAAACCTCGGCGGCTAACTCTACAACGGCACACCCTCAAGCACTACACGCCGTGGAAATGTACCAGTCACTTGCGTTTTATTTTTTTGACGTCAAACATCTGCTTGCCGCCGACTAATAAATGCCCCAGGCGTGACGCCTTTGCGGGAACTCATCGATCCTAGTTACATTACCCAGAATAGACGAAACACCCAATGTTACCCAATATAGATCCTATGCAGATTCCGAACGAACCATCGTCGGAATAGACTACCGACAGCCTGGTTCAGATCTGAAGAAGCGAAGAAGATGTCAAATATAGAAACTTTTTGACGCGCGACTGTCGATGAAACGCTTTCGCTTGCCCTAGGATCGTTTGCTCTGCACATCATCCAAGCAGATATCGACATCCCTGTGTCGATGGCCCTACCATCTCCATCATGATTACCTAGTATGGTTAGCGACTGGCTGTCGCAATGGAGCCAGATCTGTTTCATGCCCCTGCAGGCAGTTCGATTGATTCTGTATCTTTTTTTGGATCAAGGGACTCATAGGTTCCAGATTGAAGAACATTTAATAACCAACCGTTCTCCAGTCTGGTTATGCCTCAGTTCAGTCAAGTCGTTCACCAAGACAAAGCGAACTCGACAACATTGTCTCTTCTTTTGCCTAGTGCATCTCTTTCTTCTCTATTCATTTGACCTTAGCTTCTTACGCGAGCATTCCCTGTTTGATACCTCTTGGGAAGCTGGACTTTCCCGCAATCTTATTTGATCTAAATCGTCTCAGACCTGCGGTGACTTTATATAGCAAGATGTCTGTGGAGTACTCTTATTATCGTCCCTCAACCCCTCCTGCATTGCATCTGCAAGAATATAGTGGAACGGGGCATAGCCGCAACGCTTCTGATTCTTCTGTTTACTCCAACAACTCGTCGCCCTGGTCCGTCATCACGTCGGCTACCAGCCCTGTAGTTGACTCACCCCCACAACACCACCATGGGCCTACTCTTCTTCCGAAGATCAGACCTCAAGACATTGTGATTGAACCTCCACCCGCCAGTGGATCCCAACGTCAACGGCGGGTGCTGTCAAACACACGCAATCCTCCTGGTTCTTTACCGCTTGCTTCCAACCGCCGGTCAAGCCATCGGGTTGCTGTTGAGACCTCAGGGTGCATTCCTATGGCATCCCCGGCCGTGGCGTCGCCGAAGTATACCACTCGCAATGGCTCGTCATTATCATCTCCTGTGAGCGTCACACCGGCGCAGAAGCGCAAGGCGACGAGCGCGCACACTAGATCAGTCTCTGCCTCCAACGTTGACGATCCAAGGACAAGTCGATGCGGATATCCAGCATATCGACAGGTCATCAGATACGCCTCTCAACCTCAGAGTTCCCCTACCACACCGGCTACGCCCGCCACACCCAATATTATAGTGTATCCGCCTTATGCGCCTCACTCGCCAGCCGAGCCATACTATCCCAAAGTGTACCCTCCGGTGCAGGTGCCACTCATGCTTCCCGGCTCACCATATGGGTACGTGCGAGCGTCGAGTGCACAATGCTCTCCCATCGGCATCGTCCACCAGACCGAGAGGACGAACTCTCAGTCAACCACCTTGCTCTCGTACCTTACCACCCCGACACAAGCAATCAACCTCGTGCGCAACGTGAACGTGATTCCGACACGAGGCTTGCACGATTACTTTTGGTGGGACATTCGGAACTTGCGCAGTTGGACTTCGTTTTCTCTATCCACGTTCAACTCTATCAGTGGACTTCCGAAACTTCTCAAAACCGCAATCCCTTCGCATCTCACGCCCCTCAATATCCTTCCGAGCTCTTATTTGTCCCCAGATTGCGAGCCAGCTCTAGTCAACGTCATCCGAGACATCTATGCACCTCGTATCAATGCTGCCTTGGCAGTCTCGCAAGGCCCGGATCACTTGTCCCTCTACGCTGTTCCTATTCCGCGAGGATCACCTAACAAGAACTATGGCGGGCCACATTTTCTCGCTAACTATGCGTCTGACACCGAACGAACCGCCTCAGGCCTTGCCAGAGGACGACTCGTTGGTATTGTCAAGACCTTCGACCGCTGGAACACGGGAATGCGCAACGAAGCGCCTCACCGCAGGGTGGAGTATCTGAACGGTCTAGCACACCTGCAGCGATGCATGCGCGAGCACTCTTGCCGCTACGGCTTCATTCTCACCGAGATCGAGCTCGTGTGTGTACGGGCAGGTTGTGACGAGGGCGACGATGTGCCCTACTTTGGTTTCCTGGAGCTGTCTGCGCCAATTCCAACCAAGCTCGCGATCAACCAGCGTGGGCACGGCTCGGGGCCATGTACCGGTGATTATGGCTATCCGCATTCGCCCACTCCATCCAGCGACAGTTCCTTGGCGAGCCAGTCGCCCATACTGGATAGCTATCCAATTTCGGATTCCGATGAGCTGGACGTGCCAATGACCGCCAGTCTAGCTTTATACTTTTTACTGATGCTTTCAAAATCGGTTCCCTTGCCGTCACAACCGTCTGCCCATCTCAACGTGGGAGGCCCCGGTGCTCTGACCCGGCAGCGCATCCTACCAGAAAAGAAAGACAAATGGATCCCGGAGCCCCAGATTGGGGAGCGCCGTGATGCGAAGCGAGTTCGAGGTTGGGTGTGGCCCCAGGATGCCTGGCATCGTCGAGAAGGTGGAGGAGCTCCTCGTTCCCGAGCAATGACGACGGAACCCAGGCCCAAAAAGTGGCACAAATAATATACGTTTATCTTAGCGGAGACAGGCTTCTCATTGCTGCTACTAATTATGCTTGTTGTTACATAGCTTTTGTCTTATAGTAATGTAATGTCTTTCCATATATCAACTGCGGACCCTTTCACAGTATAGTAGGCCAGCACAGAACCATTAATCAATAGCGTCAAAGCTCACTCAGAATGACATAAACCCTAGCATAGTAGCAAATCATGCTCTGCAATCACCCCCAAGGTCCCCAAACTCATCCCTCAAACTTCAAATACATTATCAATAATGGTGATCCCGACTTTCCCTTTTGGGCGACAAGGACCTTGGGGATCCAAGTACCCGGGGGAGTGATGAGCACCACCATAACCAAATATCACCTACTATCTATTTATCAAATATAAACCCTGCTGCATGCACATATTTGAATAATCAATCAATCACTCAATCAATAGCTCTACTCTACTACATCACACTTAGTACTACCTACGAAGCCTCCACCATCATTCCCACTTCAACCATACATACTACACACCAACCAGACATGGTAGGCAAAACCACCTCACCACAATCATCCTCATCCTCCTCCTTCCCGGACATCCTCGATGTCCTCATCATCGGCGCCGGCCCCTGCGGCCTAGCAGTCGCCGCGCGCCTCCGCGAAGAAACCCCCTCCGCCATGTTCACCGACGACGAACACCAACGCTACCACTGGATCAACAAACATAGTGGCCGAATGGCATTGGTGCAGGCACACCGCGGGAAACTCAAGGGCGTGAAGGCGGAGAAGTGGCAGAGATATGATGATGAGCATTATCCTAGACGGGGGTCATCTTCATCTTCCGGTTCTGGGTCGGGCTCTGATTCTTCTCCGCCGTCGTTGTCTTCGTCGGTATCGTCGGATGATGGGGTGTATATGGGGAGGGGGGATGATAAGAATGATGGTGGCTATGGAAATGGCAATGGGGGCATATCAACGCTCGTACTGGATAGTTCCGGGGACAAGTGGATGGAGAGATGGAATCGGGCGTTCAAGACATTGGAGATTGAGCAGCTGCGCAGCCCGATGTTCTTTCATGTGGATCCCAGGGATCGGGATGGTATGTTGGCGTATACGAGGGAGGTGAGGAGGGAGAGGGATTTGTGGGAGATTTCGGGGTGCGTGGGGAAGGAGTTGAGTAAGCATAAGAAGAAGAAGATGAGGTCGAGGGCGCAGTAAGTTGTCCTTTCCTTATAAGAAGTGACTGATATCCTGTGTTCGGGTTGCTAATTGTGTGGGT